TGCTCTGGTCCACAATCATCCACTCAACAAAGTAGTGATTGGTGATTCCATTTAGTGTTGGTCAAGAACTCTTTCATTCCATGGACTATTGTTTTTTTTGGTGTGTTGTTCCGTAAACAATTCATTTCTTCTATGGTGATGTTAATGGTTATGACAATGTAGTTGTGGTATCACTATTGTGTATTTTGTTTGGAATGCTATTGGCAGTATTGTTTTGAATGCTATTGGCAGTATTGTTGGGTTTTGAATGTTTGGCTGAATGCTATTGGCTGCATTGTTGTGTATTTCCATGGATTATTTTTTTTGGTTTTGGATGTTTGGTTTTGTATGTTTGGCAGTAATGTTTGATTTCTATAGTGTGTTCAGATATTTTTTTGGCTAGTCATAGCAGTAATGGTAATGACCATTTGTAGATAGATGTGGTGAGTGGAGAAGCATTGACAGTAAAAATTTCATTCAGGAAAAACAATAATCAAACAAAACAATCCATATGAATAACAGTAACCAAATTACATAGTACAAAAGATTACATTAGTTAAACCCTTTAATTACTTGAGCACAATAATAGCCATAAGAACAACAATAACCAAACAAAGCAATCCATTGCTAAATATTTTCTCAAACTTCTCGATCTTTTATTGAATCTCCTTCAAAATTGTTGCGATTTCCCCATTTTCAATTGTTACCTTTGCCCCGGTTGACTCAACCTCATCACCATCATCTTCAAAGAAAACATCATGTTCATGTACTTCATTTGACTTCACCCAATTCACTGAGGTAGGTATAACCCAAGCAAAGAAACGACACTTGTTGTTCGGACAATTGCAAAATAGCTTGCCAACGGTTTCTTTCGTAGGGCCAACAACTTTAATGAGAGCAAATGCGTTGCAATAACACTTAGGATGCTTATACCTAAGATCCAATCTCTCATTCTTTGACATCTTTGATTTTTGGGAAGACATCTTCTACATGGAAAAGATAAAAAATAATAATAATAATAATAATAATAATAATAAAAAATAAAAAATGGGACAAACAAAACAATACTGATTTTATATTATAATTCGAAAATGCCCTAATTTGCAAAATCAAAGATGATTTCTGTAATTCGAAAATGCCCTAATTCAAAAAATGCCCTAATTCGAAAAATGCCCTAATTTGAAAATGCCCTAATTCAAAAAATACCCTAATTCGAAAAGTGCCCTAATTCAAAAATGCCCTAATTCGAAAAAATTGGGACAAACAAACCTGATTTCTGTAAAATGAATTCACAAACAACAAACCCTATACTGAGCCTCAACAAATTGAAACCCTAATTTCAAAAAATGATTTCAATTCGTAAATGACCTAATTTGAAACCATAATTTCAATTTCGAAAATGCACAAAATTAAGGTTTCGATTTCTGAGGTTTAGATTGCAAAAGTTTACCTCAAAGCGATTTGGATTGCGAAAGCTTACCTCAAAGCCTTGCGATTTGAAGGAAAAAAATTGGAAGAGCTCCTCCCTCTCGTGCGATTTGATTTGAAGAACAGCCTCAGCGAAAGAGTTCAATTTAATTCAGCTATTAAGGGGCAAAATAGTCATTTCATTCAGTTTATGGCGAAAAAATGGAGAAAAAGCCGCACCACACGCGCGTGAGATGCACATCCGTCAAGTTAGACGGTTTAGGGGATAACGCACAAGCAGAAGTATAATAGAAGGGGGTATGGCGCAATTTTTAAAATACAGGGGGGTAATGCGCAGATTTCGTATAATACAGGGGGGTTTGGCGCAATTTAAATAGGATACTTAATATTTTATTGCTTAGTTAGAGTTATAGTTATATTAGGATTAGATCTAGTTGATGCCTATATAAAGGCCCTTCCTCTTGTTAATTTAATCATTCAGAAATCAATACAAAAATCCGAACTTTTTTCAAACTCTTTGCTCTAGTTTTCTTCTTGAATTTTTTTGCAACTTTATTCGTTAGAAAGGCTGCGAGTGTGCGACTTCCTAACACCTATCGAAATATTTAAGGCGCGGAGAGCGGCTTGTCGACAATCGAGACACACAGTCTTCATCAGGGCATCCCGACGTAGAATATCCGACACTCGAGTGAGAACCCCTATTTCAGCAATTGAATGTACGGTGTAGCAATTGACATTGTGACTTCTATTTTTCATACTTGTTCTCGAGCTATTTATAGAGGTTACCTTGTTAACCTAGCATCCACATCCTACCAAGATCTTCAGAGATTCGCGAGAATCTTTTCCTCACACGTTTCGACTTTCCATACTTACATATTATTTTAGGTTAATGCTTCTAGCCCTTTCGCTACATAGCTATCTTAAGTCCAGGTCGAGCATCTAACAAACCATCCTGGAGTCCCAACACGATTTGGTTTCAACCTTCTTTAGCTCGTGTGCACCTCTTTGAACTTGACCCTTGCCCAAACGACCTAAGCCAGGTTTGTCCAAACTACCTCCAATCGAATCTCCAACTATCTTCTAGTACGAGTTAGCTCCTGCTAAGTAGTATGATATACCATATCACAAGAGATAGAAAAATGGAAATAAGAAACACACTAATATACTACAAAAGAAATATTCCCAATATAAACATAAAGTTTAAATAAAAATCCCATAATAAAGTAGTGCAGGCCTTTCATTATGATGACGTGGCCCATGCTGTCCAATTAAAAGAACAGATTTTTCCATAGATCACCGAATTCCTATGATTCGATTGGGACCCACACCCGCTAATTGCGGGGGAATAAAAAAGGTTATTAACAATTGAAGACATTTTCACCATTTTTCACTATTATAGTTTGTGCTCATGAGAGAGTATCTCTTTGTCTTTATTCACATAACACAATTTAAAAA